GAACGAAACGATTAATATTAGGGTGGGTTCGATGAAATGGGCAAAACCAGCGGCGATGTATAGTTTAAAGAAGACGCGTCATTAGTTTGTATAAGTACCTACTTGTTCATGATCGTTCTGTATAAATTTGTTGTTATCCATGTGTCATATGTATGTCAGTGATCTATTTTGCTATCATTTTTTCGTGGATATTCTCCTACAGGTGGATTAGTAGTGAATATGTCATATGCATGAATTTTTAAAATCAAGACGATTGCACTGTGACGAGCTCGAATGTTTGTGTGCTATATCTTGTTTTCTCTGTGATTATGTCATGCTGATGAAGATTTAATAATCGAAACGTGTCCATGCACTATTTGTTCCGTGTTTTTCTACTTGTCTCTATCAATATACCATTGAGGAAAGGCCACTCGCAGCTGGCCTGTCATTGATCCAGCATGGGATGGTGGATCATGCATGGTTCGCGGAATGCTTCTTAGCTGTGTCCTAAGTGGCGATTTGCTCCCCTCCTGGAGAAAATAGAGGAAAGATCAGCAACAAATAGTCTAAGCCGACCGGTATCAGCTACGAGTAATGGTGAAAAGCCGCCAAGGCGTGCGATGTGGAACATTACACGCATGATGCGATGAAAGAAAGCGCGCAACTTTCCTGAAGGTAGATCATAGCCAATAGCCATGGGTGGAGTGCAAAATACTGTGTCAAACGCACAGTGCGAACTACGCAGCTTTTGTTTGTTTTGTGTCTTATCCTGGTGTTTAGTTTGAATTGCTAAGCTAAACGTGTGTTTGTATGATTATCATAATTCAGGGATAACAAATTCGAATGTTCACAGAGGCATACGATATGAATTGTGGCTCGCTGCGCTGTCCAAGTGGTTCCTTATTCATTCATTCATCCATCCATCCATTCATTCATTCATTCATTCATTCATTCATTCATGAATGAATGAATGAATGAATGAATGAATGAAAGAACACGTAGAGCGCAGTGACGTGACGTGTGTGTGTGTCTGTGTCGACGCAGAGGTCAGGGTCGGGGTCTTAGGCTGAGGTCGAGATCGAGGACATCGCGCTGCTCAATGGACGTCTGTGATCTCGTATTAATTAGGTACGTAGTTATTCTTATTCATGCATTTGTATTACGAGTATAACAGAGATGCAGCATTTATAACCGACATAAAATACAGCCCATCTGAATGTATATGCATTGCAATTTTGTGGCGTCTCTCAGCTCTATCGTGTCTGCCAGCAATAGCACGCCCATATTTTTGCAGCAAGAGCAGTTTTGAATCGTTCAGTTACTATTATCAATGTCACGGCAATGAATAAAATATGAGATTTATGATTATGTGTGTGCGTGCGTGCTATTTTTTAGGTTATTCAAGCCGGCAAAATATGAAGGTCGAGGACGTTTATGTCAACAGTTCCTGGAATTGGCGCGCCATAACGCATTGCATTTGCCAATCCTATACGTATTTAAAGGTGCACGCCAGTTGGCGTTTTGTGATACCTGTATGCGTAAATCATCGGTGGATAAATATACCCATCCACGGATGATTTACATATTTATCCTGTATATACCTATAGGTACAGGAAACAGTGTCTTGTATGTACATCTGGCTAATTCCTTATCCGAAAGTAATTCTGCAGTCGAAGTGACCTACAGGTCAGGTCATTGACAAATCAGTGCGCACATTCTCGTACAGCCTTATGAAGCATATAAGGACAGAAAATATGCTTGGTCTGTCAGGTGCCTTATGCATTGCGCTCACGATACACACACTAGGGGAGTCAACGGCGGTTTCTGATGCCTCACACAAAGATAAGGGACGAAAAGATCTGCCCTTTGCCCACTGACAACGGGCCGGCAAAAGCTGGCAATTGGTCCACGTGATTTTCAGAAGGCAACGTTCCTGTTTTGGCAGAGCACATTCTTGGTATTACTATCATATTGATAAGCTTTGATAGCGACTGTCACGCCGTCCATACATATCGACTGGGCTCGATGACTTTTAATCGCTGACCCACCACCTTACAACACTATGCACTAATAACGCTGCATTTCTGACAAGGTCTGCTGTAGGATGATGGTCCATTTGTAAATCAACCCGCCAGGTGTGCGCGCCAGCGCTGCTGAGGCCAGCTGAAGTATGGCTTACAGCGAACGAGTGGACGGGGTCACCTGTCATATCATTGCCAATGCATGCCAATTCCATCATTGCAGTGCTGCAACGTGTAATTATTGTTATTGTTTGATTGTTTTTGCTATTCAGCGTGTTTCCACAGTCTGATGAAATCTGGTCACTTGTGACCAATAAATGAAGCTTGTAATAATACTTTGTGCTTCTTGATTTGACAATGCTTTTCGAATGCCCTCTTGTGCTATGCAAGAATTACCTGTTTGTTATGCTGGCTGAAAGGTGCCTATAGGTAATATTACCTATAGGCACCTTTCTATAGGCTTTCTACGTGCCTATAGGTAATATTACCTATAGGCACGTCGTCTATTTAGACGACGACGTGGTGGTAACGACAAACATGATTGAATGATGCACTGGTACACTCGTAGGCATAAAGGCTGATGATAGGCTTTTTGTGGAAATTTTAATTGAAAACTTTCTTTACAATCGTGATCCTATTATACCTATATAACAAGACTGTTTTTTATAAATTTAGTCCGAACCTTTTGATAGGAAGGATTCACAAGGACAGAGCCACCGCTAAGCGAAACTTGTTGCGGTGACCCTGCCCTCTACCCTCCGATCGCGCAATTTCAGTTCTATGGCAGAATTTAGGGTCCAAAGTTTAACGTGCGCACATAGCCGCGCACGGCCGGTCCCCTCACTGACTTCGCCTGGCTACGGCCTGCCTCCAACCGCAACCATACCTGTCAGGAGACCCATGGATCGAGCGCCAGTCGCGCTTCGAACCCGGACTGTTGTAACCGGGAACGCGTGCTCTCACCACGCGGAGTCCAACGCTCTACCAACTGAGCTACGGGACCGGCCTGATAAGCCTGATGATTGCATTGCCGTCAAGGCCACCGCTGCGTGAATATTTTCCGCGCAACTTTATGATGAATATTGCATTTTTTAACCCTCGCCCGCACATGGGGGGGGGGGGGTGGTTGCCACCCCCCCAGGTAGTCTTTCCGCTCTGCACTCAACATTTTTAGAGCTAGAAGGCTGATTTTTCGTATAGCTGCTCGTCTATCCTTTCTTGATGTCCACTGAAAATTTCAAGTTTCTGTAATTTTTGGTTTCGGAGATATGACCTTGTTTTTCAGGTCACGTCATGACCCAAATGGCCAATTCTCAACATCTTTCGCTTGTCATGGGCCTTGTGAGCTTTTGACACCCTGATTTCGGCCTTTTTTGCCAGTCTTACCTCCCACCTATCATGGAACATGTTGTTCGACGATGTACAGGGGTCAAGGTCAGGGTCAAGGTCAACCTAGGTCATCTAAGATAATTGCGTTTTAGGCAAGCTGAATTTACTTTTTGTGAAGTTTTTTGACTGCATTTTTGGTAAAAGCTTCTCAGATCATGATTTCATGTAATATGGACCCAAAAACAATCGGTGCACACATCAGTATACACACAGACACGCACAGACATACAAACACATATAATTGACCTTGACCTAACTTGACCTGAAATGACCTCAGCAGCAAAATTCTGGTCGGGTAGTGTGGCAATGAGGTTCTAGCTGGCTTGGCACCAGAAAACAGCATCGTCATCGGTATTTGATAAGCAGCGCACTTGATATCCAACGGTGACCCAAAACAGCAATATTTTTTTGTTTGACCTGACCTGGAAGGTCAATGACTGACCTGAGAAGGTAAAACTGGGTATCATTGGATTTGTCTCTTCCCAAAAAATCTTTTTGGTCTTTACTGCTAAGCTCTATCTCCAACAGGAACGAAATGGCGCGGGGGGGGGGTGGCAACCACCCCCCCCCCCCATGTGCGTTCTAGGATGGGAAAATAGCATGTGCGGGCGAGGGTTAAAGCCAGTTTCACTGGAAATGTAATATTCATTTTATTTATCAACGCGGTACGGTGTAACATGAAATAGCGCTATGGATTGTAAATACTGTCTTCATTATTTCGAGGTGACAAGAAAGTATGCATAGGTTTCATTAATTTCTTAATTAATTTTATTTCAGTGGTTATACAGAAACATCGGCAATAAACATTTAACACCAATATGGTTATGAATGCATATATATGTTTGCACACACAACAACAGTGGCAGGATATAACAACAACATGTAATATATGAATAATCACTTATCACGATTGACACCAAGTACTCCGTAGTTCGCACTACTAAACCACACAGTACACCCTACACATGATTGGTATGCATACCTAATAGTGTTGCATTAAACCGTGCAAACATCGCAAAGTTATGTGTATTCCAATAAAGGGATGCAGCAATTGTTGACTAAACACCCACTAGGTTACTAAAGCTAGCATCTGAACCCATGCTCTTTGAAACAGAAAACTCCGATGAGAAAGCAGACATGACTTGAATCACAACCACATTCTCACAATAAGTAATGTGGCGTTGGCGTATGACATTCACATGGGCCATGGCTACATAGGGCGAATGGGTTTGAGGCGTTATTATGGAGGCGCGTTTATTTTTTAGGCTTTAAAACAACGAAGATTCTATTCGCTTTTTTACTTTTCTCACATTATCACCCATGCGTGCTGGAAATCGACACAGCTTTACTGTGATAAACGAGATTACCATTAAAATTAGCCTGTTCTTTGCCTATCTTGCTAAATTCATCTGAATAGTTGCAAAGATGTACAGTCCACAGCAGAAGTAATGTGTGGTTTCAGTCATGGGTATGTTCTGCTTCTGAAGCCTAGGAACGATCAGCCAGACTGCAACGATACTTTAAATGTAGCTTACATGTATCTTCACCCTTGCAGCTACAACTTTATCTTATTGACGTCTTCTTTTCAATCAGTCCGCATTTAAGAATCGTCGGTCAAAGCCATCGTTGAGATTGGTAAAACCACACATTACTTTAGCGGTGGGCTGTACAACGTGTTTCACGCTCTTGCTTGAATAAATAAGAGCCGTTCAGTTTTGTCTTTGTTTTATTTGCCATCTAGGCCCAAGACTTGATGATCGCCAACAGGCACTTGCGGTAGTCACCCGAAGTGTCATCAGCCACCGCCGCCGCCAGGCTCTTTCCGTAGTTGAGCTGGTACTTCTCCTTGACATTCTCCAGATCGATCTCGGACCGCGATACCAGGATCCTAATGAGGGCTCCGTCATCGGTGCCCAGGCCGCGCATCGCCCGGTACAGCTTCTCGGCAAAGTAGGCCGGCTGGTCAGAGATGCACTGCACCATCGTCAGCAGGCCGGTCTTCATGTCGCCGCTGAACTCGGACCGGATCGCCTTCTCGATGCTGTTGGCCTTGGCGCTCACCTGCGGATAGATCTCGAACACCCTGCGCAACAGCGCGCAGCCCGTCTCGCAGAAGATGCGCACGAACACGGCGGCGTCCTTGCCGCGTCGCGCCTCTCCGGCCGCGTGCAGCTCGACGGCCAGTTCGCGGGCGCGGTTTTCGCCCACCAGCTCGTCTTCGTTACGACCCAGCTGGACGAGCCCGAGGATCAGCTGCCTGAAGTCGCCGCTCAGCTCCGATCGAAGCTCGGCCTCCAGAGAGCGGCCGTGCATTCTCTGGTAGGCCTTGACCACGTTCTGTACCTCTGCCTGCGAACGGCCGCAGAAGATCTCGATGAGAGTTTTCTCGTCCGTGCCCAGACCCTTCATGGCTCGGCGTGTCCAGCTGGCCAGGAACTGGTTCTCCCACTGCATGAGGGCCAGCAGGGTGGCCTGCAGATTCGCAGAGGTCTCACGCCGCAGCGCGGCATCGAGGTTCTCATCAAACTGGACATTATATACGTCCTCGAGGTACTTTCTCTCTTCGACGGTGTATTTGGTGAGGATGCTGATCACGACGGCCATGTTAACGGGTTTCTGCAGTGCGCGATGCAGCTTCTTGGCCTGGCCGGTGGCTGCTTCCTCGTCAAAGTCCTTGTGTGGCTTGATAGTCCCACGTGGCGTTGTGATAAGCGGCTTGGCATTGTTTGAGCTCCTTTGTTTGACTTTGCTACGTCCAGGCATTGTGCCTTCAGACATTGACACAATGGAGAAAGTAATTGGTTTCTAATGGACAGTCATATGCCCTGAGTGCATCTGTAACACTTAATGATAATATTTTGTAGTCATGGTGTTGAATGCTAAATTATTGGCTCAGTTTCAGCACATCAAGGGGTTGCAGGACCACAAAAACAGCCAGCCACGTTTTTACGTAAGTCAATGCTGCTCTCCTTCACACCAGTGACAAAATATCTCGGTGATAATTGGTTGGCACGAACACCACTGTATATCCTTTTCGCACCAGTGCTACGCTGTATGCTGCTCGATGTCACCGGTCACCAACTAATGTCACTGGGAACCCCGTCACTCAAAACTGGAAGACTCGGACTGTGCGCACACGCTCGGCAGCACAGGTAACCGATGCACTGACCCAGGCGTCGGCCTTAGCCCTGGCTCCCAAGTCCCAATCAACGTCTGTTGTTAGCAACATGGGCTGCCCATCCCCACACCCTCCCCTGACCCCTAACACAGCTGAACCGGACCAGCAGCCGCCCGGAAACACATTAGGCAACGATAGCGTGTGCGAAGGCCAGTGCAGGAATGGGCGTAATAGTTGAATCACTATAGCCAGCCCGTGCATGTATGCATGGATAATTATTGAAATGCAACAATGACCGGCCTACAACCGTTTATCGTAAAAACGTTAATAAATCGTACGTATTGTTAAATAAAATTGCACCCATGGATGGCTCCACGTATCGCTATATTCCCATCCTCAAAAGTAGGTACAACAAAATGAAACAAATAAAACAATAATAAAACAAATACAACAACTTTACTTCAATTAAAATTACAACATAACAATTGCAATTACAACAAGTACAATATCCTAGAACAACAAAAGTTATGTCATTTTTTGTAGGGGCTCTTGAGGAAGCAAAGATGGCGATAAACAACAGCGGCTCCCACAAGTCCCTTCGTCAACCGGCTAGTTAATCATTTTTCCATCAACATCAACATTTTAACGGAGCCATTGTTGTACGAAGGTCATTATACAAGGATAATAATAATACTAAAAATAGGAAGTGCCTTTTGTTATCTACCTTTTGTTATCAAGTTGATCGGGGTACGAATATAGGCCTAGTTGGTTGAATTTGCTTGAGTTTTACTTACGGCGACGTTTTAAGAACAATGGAGTTTTTGTATCATCTTGAATAAGGCATAGCATACCTAATTGGAATTTCTTGTGACATTTACAGTGCATAGTCATTTTATAAATAAGTACATAGGTTTCTTTGAAGTGGCGAAATACGTATATAATTATTTACCTACTAGCCCACTGGTAAACAAAAAGAACATTACTATAATCACCTGAAGAAACGCAACACATTTCGAACTTCCTGCCATTTTTATTTCACTTATTGCACTTCTGCCCGACGCTATACGTTTCTTCGCGTATGTTCATCGAGCGTCAGGTGTTTGTCAGTGTAACTTCATCAGTAATAACAGGTTTGAAGTCGCTAAGGCTCGGGCCTTGTCCAAGCCTTGTCTGCACTCAGTTATTCCGAAGGTTGCGTTACAAACTGCTCGCCACTAATGCGTTTCGTCCAGCGTACCGATTGGTGGCACGCTTCCCTATGTAACCGGCCGAAAAGGTGCTCGCTCTGTGCGATCGATAGGGGGCGCCCAGCGGCGTTCCCTGCTGGTGCACTTTCACGGTCGCGGTTGAAGAGGTATCGCTCACTGTTGCCGCACACGCCAATCACGACAGGGGTCAATGTATGTATGTAGTATGTACAGAGACATGTCACGGAATAGCGGGGCGGGTGCCGCTGGCGGGCTCCCAGTCGAATCAATGGCATTGCTTGGAGACGGTGACACCACACACAGCTGCGGCCGGGCCCCAAACACTGAAACGAAACTGATCGGGGCCGCTGCTGTCTGCCTACACCCCTGTGGCGCTCATCGTTGTGGCACCACCTCTGCATGTAGCTTTGTAGGTACACTACATAGCTCACTGTGGCGGCAGATCCTGAGACGGTCTCAGAATACTCACATACTTTTCCAAATTTCTTCAGTTTTATGACTCGCAACTGACTCCGACGCACTCAGTTGTGCATGTGCAGTATGCAATCTATTGGCTGCGTTTTTGTCTTTTCGGCGGGATACTTGCTCGAGCACCTACTCTGCTTGGCACTCATTTGTGCAATACGAGTGACTTCGCATTGATCGTGCTGTATCGACAAAAAGACTGGGTCGATCAACTCAGGCTTTATTCCGTACCCCGACTTATACTTTGCAGCCCCGTGCTAAAAAGCTGCCCAAAAAGCTGCCCGAGAGTCCCACGCATTGCTTTTTGCGGCAAATGGCGAGTATCCCTACAGCTCCGGGGGTTAGACTATGCTCCCAGACAAGGGATCACTGCTCTCTGTTCTGTCCATTAGCTATCAGACGCCGGGCCAGACACACAGACGTCTGGGCGTCTAGACACTGCACACTGGGCTGATTTGGTTGGTTTGTCTGACTTATTGTGATACCTATTAGTGTTTTGTTTTGGAAGTTTGGCATTAAAACGTAGTCTTCTATGTGTTTTTGGTTGGTTTTGATAATTTTTTGGGCATTTGCCTCTTCCGCAGCGTCTGAAATATCAAATATATATCATTTTGCCTTCAACTTTGCGATAAAAAAAAACGTTTTATTAAAATTGCACGGCTACACAATCGCATAAGGAAGCAAAATCCGAGTTTTTTTTATAGAATAGCCCTTATTTGGAGTCCCCCCTCTCTCTCTCTCTCTCTCTCTCTCTCTCTCTCTCTCTCTCTCTCTCTCTCTCTCTCTCTCTCTCTCTCTCTCTCTTTCTCCTCCGCAGCGTCCGCCTTCCAATATCTCATTTCCCGATTTAGTGGTACGGCTCAACATGGCCAAACGTTCTTTGAACGTTTCGACAGCATGGGATAGTTAGTACACGGCTTATTATGTAGGGGAGAGTGGGGCACATTCGTGCAAAAAATGGATAAACCCATATATCTGTTCTTTGGTTAGTGCAATGGCAAAATTAATGATTGTAGTATGGAAAGGAACTATTGCAGATAGTTTTCCTCTTTAAAAGTTATCCTATAAAATTATTGCTTCCATTAGAAAAAATGACTTTTATTAACTCTGAACATTTGCACGAAACTGCCCCACCTATGGGGCACATTCGTTCAAGAGATGGGGCACTTCCGTTCACCCGGCAAAATTCGAGAAATTACCGGGCATTACCAGAAATTTACCAAAGGAAATTGGCAGGGGGTCATTTCACTTGATTCCTTTCGACAAGAATGCATTGCACAACAAATGTAGAAAGAATGGGCTGGCCAACAAGAATATGCCAACTGCCGGCCTCCGTGACCTCGCCAAGTTCGCGTGAATTGCTCGTCACGACGTCGCAAGCAGTCGAGACTGAGTCAGGCGAGCGTCATTAGAGAAACCTACTACAGATAAAGTCATAAATCGCAAAAACTAAAAAAAAAATATGCACGAATGTGCCCCCAGGCAGTGCGTACACGAACCTGCCCCACAACGTTATTAGTAATATATTTCAAAATTTCTTTTTGAAAAAATGACACTTTTTCAACAAACAAGTTTGCAGCAGTTCCGTGAATAGAGTGGGCTTCTTCACCCCCAATTTTGAAAAGCTGAACCACATTTCCGAGTCAGGATCACGAAAATGGATGATATGAGAAAAGTTTGGAAAGCTCACGAATATTACAAATTTGCGTTTTTATCAAGCATGACAGCAGGTACAGTGTTGTCTTCTACGGTGAACGAAGGGCGGCAATGATAGACATATTTCCATAATTTACCTTGAGCTCGTGCAGTCACTCGTGTTCCCATAAACTGCTGAAAACGAATGTGCCCCATGCACGAATGTGCCCCACTCTCCCCTAGACAGACAAGTCTTTGAATCTGCAAGCTGTTTGCATTAAATTAAACCTATTTTTCTTCCTTAGTTAATGACATAAACACGGCATCATTAACACGCGCAGTGGAAGGGTTGCGAGTACTACGCCCAGTGCACTGTAAAAAAAACTTACAAGCCCCTCGTAGAGGAATTCTCAGCGCAAAAATAACATTGCAGGAGCGTGTAAATTTGGCTAATTTTAGGCTAGTTGCCGAGTAACAAGCTTGTTCGACAAGGCTGTGCCTCGTATGCATACGACCACCGTGCTCCACCTAGTTTGACAACACGCACGTAACTAGCGTGGGTAGTGCGTCTACTAGGTGTCATAATAGCCCCTGCCTGGTAAGGTAACCAGCCACTGCCTACTAATCCATACCCAGTAATTGTACTAGCCCCCAAGGCTAGTAGTGGTACTAGCTCAAGGCCAGTAGTGGCACTAGTTAACTAGTACCACTACTGGCTTTCGGGGTCGAGGCACTGGGTCGACGGAATTCCGTCGACGGAATTCCGTCAACCAGCGCCCCCGACTCTCGACCGCCACCCGCAAGTAAACAGACTGAGTAGCGCTGCAGCACATTTATTCGGGCACGAGAACGAGAACGAGAACAATAGCAACGCCAGGACAATAACTATAACTTTAACAACAACAACAACAACAACAACTGAATAATTTGCAATCAGGTTTCTTAAATAACCACCATCAAACATTTGTGATTTTTCATTAGCTCTGCACCGGCGGCAGTCGCGGGGTGAAGGTAGGCCAGGACATATGTACATGGCCCCATTCTTTACCAGAGAAGTCTGTAATGGGTGAAAAAAACGAATATCAACATTATTATTATCATAAGGCATACCAATCTGGAAAATGATTAAATTAAAGATGAATAATTCCTGCCACAAGCTAGCTTAAATCCCAAACATATAGCTATTCTGACTTGGATAGACGAATAACGGCGCACTTCTGCCAACGACGGGCAACATTATGCGATACTATACATCTTCTAAGAAGCTCAACAACATAATAACTTTTGTTTACAAATGGACAACCTTTTTGTTGAGCACACAACAAATGATACAAGATGCCTCACCTTCAATCAAGCCAAAGAGCAGTTTGGGCAGACACACACAGTAATGGCGACGCAACACAAAATGGACGCCGGCTCCCGGATGCGGGGGGGGGGGGGAGGGGACTCCTTCTGAAAGCAGCCACAGACTCCTAGGTTGTAACATGCGACGAGGATAGCTATGAGGCACATCCTCATAGCCATCCGAAGCCGCTTACCACGCAAGCTTACCAGCACGTTTACCAGCTGCAGGCGTTCGTGACAACAAGCGGGGTTGCACGCAAGGTTATCCGTTTAGTAGGTGTCAGCCGGGGCCTCGTCAGCTGAGCTAATAGCAAAATGACCTAATTGAGGGACACGCCAAAAACTGGCCGAGAACAA